AAGGACCGGCGGAAGGAAGGAAAGAAAGAAGAGGCGAGGCCGAAGGAAACAAAAGGCCAGCGGGCCGCCAGGCCTGGAGGGAGGCGCAGGCAAAGGGGTGGGGAGCCAGGAACACCGGTGTTTCATTTTTAAATCATCTAGGTGTCCGCGTGTCAAATAAAGACAAGGGCGGTAACGATTATTCTGTTAAATCTATGGTACTTGACTGCGCAAACACTAATTGATTAGACACCAAAATGATTTGTTTAAAGAGTTTTCCTTCCCAAGTGCAGCTGCTCTCGCCATCCTTCGGGGCTGTGGGGGAGTTTGCCGAAGGGGCCTGGAGGCGCCGGCTGGCCGCAGAGTTCCAAGGGGCCCCAGAGTGGGGTGGGGAATGCAACTGGTCCTGTCCCCGCTTGGGGCTGGGCTGCAACCCGTGACTTGTGTCCTTCCTTCCTGTCCTACAATGCCCGGGATGGTGCATCTGGAGACCATCGTGAGCCCAGTTTGGTCTCCCACTGCCCTCTTTGCTCTGAGCAAGAGGGCCCCTTGCCCCTTGCCCTGCCTCCTAACCCTGAACCCTGGCACTCTCTCTAGTCTGGCACTTCCTAATCTACATTCTAGGCACCAGAAGAGCATCCTTAACCACCGCCTCAAACCTGGAAAATCCGTCACTTACTCCACAACAGACCTCCTTTGCAATGTACTTCAACCATATAAAGATCAAAGAAAGCAAAATCCACGGAAAGTCTGACAAGAGAAAGGCCAGCTCCCCCAGAATCCAAGTAGCTGAGGAAAGCAGCGTGGGGTTCTGCAGGGAAGCCTCACCAGGGAGCCTCGGACCCCTCCAAGATATTAGGACTCCTCCTCCCTTCAGTGCACTGGGCCTGAGGCCCTGAAAAGTCCTCATTGAAACTGGGACCACTAGAACGGATTTAAACCCAAGAGAGCCACTTCTCCTTTATCCGATGGCCCAGGAGATAAGGTAGCTGGAGATGCTCACAAGGGGTGGGAGTTCCTGGCAGTGCTGTCCGAACCGCCCTCAGCTGGAGCTGGCACCAGCTGTGGAGAGCCTTTCACCAGAGCACCTTTTCTTCTCTTTGGGTTTGGAGAGGGTAGGTAGGCAATAAAACAAAGGAGAGTACAAAAACACAGAGTATAGATTATACACATTGTCATGGGCAAAACCCTTAATTCAGGTTAAAGAAGGGAAAAAACTGAACCGATGAATTAAAAACTATATGCTAAGTAGAAGATCAAAGATTGATGAAGAGGACTAAAAATAATTGGTTACCCTTTCCTTGGCCTCTGGAGAGTACAGCGAAGTCATTGATTAATTTTTTAAATGGTTTTCAATGTGAATCACCAGACCACCCCCTTCTGAATTTCTTGGTGTTCTATTCTAAGCCAACAGAAATTTTCTGAATTAAATCTCTCCAAAGGTGGGAGGAAGACAAGAGAGCCTGGCAGAAAACACCACCAAATCCTTCACTCCTCCCGTTATCAAGTTGTGGCCAGTACACTGTTGCCAGACACCAAAGAAATGGTTCCTCGCCAGGAGTTTAATTCTAGACTTACTTCCAGCATCAGAAACACTGGTGAGTTACCTTCCGAAACTCTGGCCAAGGAGTCAGCCTCTTACTGGACCTTGACACCCAGGCTTGCTGTTTATGTCAACAAATGAGAAGTAAACATTTGATGTCTCAGAGGGGCTAGAGAGCTAGGATGGGGCCATATGTTAGCTCTCTGTTGCTCACAAAGAAAGCTAAAGCAGGAGCTCTGAAACTGATGTAAGTCTTCAGAAAAGCTTGTGTGGCCAGCATTTGGAAGAATGGACTTATGTTCATTCTCTTTTCTAAGTTTAATGGGGTCACCTGGCAAACTCTGGCTTCCACAAGGGAAAGATTTTACTTGCCCAATCACCATCACCCCACCCCCAATATTTACAAAATAAGCAGTCTGAAATCCTTGTTTCCACACTGAAAATATTACCAGTAACAAGCATCTAGTCAAGAGTCTTATTTCCCTTTTTCTTAACTATATACATGCATGTAATTTTGTGATGATGATTGACACTATTTTTTTTTTTTTTTTTTTAGTTCCCTGTAGCTACTCAAAGTCTAACAAGTTGCCAATAAGCCCTCCTCTCAAACTTCTTGGCTATCATAAAGAATTGTGCAGCATACTATACTACACTTGATCAATCAAGTAGTTTCAAGGAACTTCTCCTTGGGTTTTAATTGTTTCATTCCCCCACAGTGCACCTATGGGCGCTAGGTATTCTGCTGAGCACTGGAAGGGAGAAGGGAAGAGAGAGACAAAATGACAAAAAGCTATCTCAGCAGTTGGCAATCTGTCCAATATCTCTCTCCCCCCCCCCCCTCTCTCTCTCATCTTAATCTGGCCTAAGAGAATCCACCATTTTCCTTAATAGAGGGAAAATTTCCAGTAAGTCAAGTAAGAATAAAATGTTTCTAAGAGAACACTGTAATTCAGTCAACTACAGGAAAACCATGGTTAAATATAACAGCATGAATAACCAAGAAAGATTAGGGAGATTTTCAAACCAAAGCAAGTCCTGCACACATATTAATATTAGCTCAACATATATAATGCTTGTCTAAATCTTTCCTTTGCTTCTCCTCTAGCGACCAGCACTGAAGCAGTCCTCCTTTTCACAAAGGGAGAGGGGAGTTTTGCTCGCCTGATCCCAGCCCTTTTCAGGTAGCCTCCAGGGGCTCAGCCAGGAGCTTCCTGTGAGGGAGGGTTTCCAAGATCAAGTCCCTAATTAGATACACAAAGAGAAAACCATGCACAATTTACTTCTTTCTTTTAACAAACTGCCTTTTGGGAAAAGACTTGTCATACAGTCAAGTCAATAATTTCCAATGGATTAAAAGATGGGGGTGTGGGGGGGACAATAGTTTACTAGTAGCTCAAAAGCTGCCTGCTACATTAACCCATTGTCTGCTCTCATATGAGATCCACACACTCAATGCTATGACAAAAAAAGAACAGAAGCAATAAGAAAAAAAGAATGCAGCTTCTCACTAACATATTATGAGCCACTAGGCAGAAAATATACTTTATGTTTGTTTCTCTAAATAGATAAATCTAGATAAAAGTTTCAATAGAGTGATTTTGTTTTCTGAGTTCTTTTATGTCAGTGTATTTCCCCCAAAGGTTTTTTTTTTTTTTTCTCTCTGGGACCTTAAATTCTTAAACGTTCACTGTGCAAGTAGATGCTAAATCCATTGAAGTAGATTCCCATTTCCAGGGCCTCCACAGGCATTGTTTGGACAAGATAGGAGTGTCTCTGGTGATCATATCAGCCAGGTTAACCAATTCCAGGTCAGGGCCATTTTCAAGGAAGTCAGGTTGACTGACTGTACCCACCAGTCTTGAGCTACCTGGATCATGATGTCCTGGTGATGGCAGGAACCTAGGCAAACAGATGGGCTTGCCCATGCCTTAGCTGGTGGGAAGTTCCCCCAAAGGTGGTCCTGCCCAAGCTTTTGCCTAGGGGAACCAGTCACCTCTGCTACTTCCATCCCAGCCCTGGTGTCTCCTGGGTCTGGGAGCATTATCAGTGGAAACACCACTGTTGGGCTCTGACCGGGCATCCCAGTAAAGAGAAGTACCATCTGAGTTTGAACTGGGGCAGGCCACACACACTTGATTCCATATCCCGGCTCAGATACCCAGGCTTTGAGAGGCAGGCCCCCATTGTGACCACCTCTCGCCCCGGGCTGAGGCTTGGCGCTGACCCGGTCGTAACTGCCAAGAGCCTGACAATGGGCACATCTGTCCTTTCTCCAAGGGATGAAAGCACCTAAGCAGACACGGCCTGCCTTTTGTTACAGATTTTTTCCCCTTTCCTTTGTAAATGAAAGAAAGCCACGGCATGTGGCGGCCGGGTGTACATCCCACACTGGGGGCCTCCCCACGCGTCCCCGCCAGGCCCAAGGCCCAAGTTCGTTTCCAGATTGCAGTGTGATTGTGAGGAGTCGACAATTACGCCCTGAAGCTGAATTGATTTTCAAATCTGGAGGCTTCTCACGCGGATGGACGGGAAGAGGGCGTCCCTACGGGCCAAGAAGAGACAGGAGAGCCAGTCTACCCTGCGGGGGATCAGTCCTTCCTGCAAGCAGTGGCTCCCGGGTGCCTTAGCAGGAGGGCCAAGAAGAAGTCACAGGAACGGCCCACCAGCACCCAGAAGTTAGCATGGGAACCCAGCAAGACACTCCCCGCCCCAACACACACACACACACACACACACACACACACACACACACACTCGTGTCCTTGGAAGCAGACGCGCCCGACTTATTTGTCCGCTGAGCCAGAGAAGGAGCCAGCCGGCGGGAGACAGCCAGGTATGGCCCAGGCTGGGACTCTGGGCACCGAGCTCTCCTCTCCCACATGGTGGAAGAGGAGAGAGGGGTGGGCAGAGGATTATCCAGGAGGTCCGAGATCTCTGGGTCAACAGCCACAGAGCTGACCCAGGCCTCTAAGATATTTGTTCCCTGCGGATAGGGCAAACGTGGACTGCCAGAAGTCCTCCGGAAAATGCACTTTTAGTGGGCCAGCTGGAAGGAGTGGTGACAGCCCCCGCATCCCGGGCAAACTGCGCCGGGAGGCAGCAGCTGGAGAGAGAGCTCTGCCCACGGCTCTTCGGCGCAACACCCGGCAGGAAAGCCCCGCAAGTGCAGCCGGGGAGCGGGGAGGAGAGCCCACCCGAGCCTGGGAGCCGAGAGGGACGCGGGTCTCCTCCCAGGGCTGTGGCGGCGGCCCAGGTCGCCCTGCATGCTGGGCCTTCCCACGTGCGCGCCACCAACCCGGCCACCCGGCGCCACGGAGGAGGCGCGGGACCCCCGCCCGCATTTGTAAGGGGACGTCACGGGCCGCGCGCGCGGGGTCCGAGGGGGCGGGGCCGGGCCGCGCGCCTGCGCGCTGCGCCCGGCGGGCGGGAGGGCGGGCCGCGGCGGTGGCGGCGGCGGCGGCGGCGGCGGCGGCGGCGGCACCGCGGCCACAGAGTCTGCACCAGTGACCCAGCCATGGCTCGAGCTGGCCAGCGGCGCGGGCAGGCGGCGGCCGCGGAAGGCGCGCGGGCTGCGTCAGGGGAGCCGGGGAGCTCACGATTCTAAGCGAGAGGGCCGAGAGGGGGCCAGGGGGCGAGGGGGCTGGGGGCCACAGCGCTCACCCAACGGCGAAGATCCTTTTTGAAAATTAATATTAAAAAAGAGAGAGGGGAAGCGAACGCAGAGGAAAAAGGTGGGGGCAAGAGGGAAGGCGATACACACAGAGAGGCAGACAGAGCCCCGCAGCGAGAGGAAAAGGAAGGAAGGAAGCCAGGAAGGCAGCAGTGGCCGGCAGGCAGGCAGCCGATGTGAAGACCGGACTCCGCGCGCCCGCCGCCGCCGCCGCCGCCGCCGCTGTCCGGCCTCATCGATGTTGTGTCCGCCGCCCGCCCGCTCGCCCGGATCACGATGAACGCGCAGCTGACCATGGAGGCGATCGGCGAGCTGCACGGGGTGAGCCATGAGCCGGTGCCCGCCCCTGCCGACCTGCTGGGCGGCAGCCCCCACGCGCGCAGCTCCGTGGCGCACCGCGGCGGCCACCTGCCCCCCGCGCACCCGCGCTCCATGGGCATGGCGTCCCTGCTGGACGGCGGCGGCGGCGGCGGCGGCGACTACCACCACCACCACCGCGCCCCCGAGCACAGCCTGGCCGGCCCCCTGCACCCCACCATGACCATGGCCTGCGAGACCCCCCCAGGTATGAGCATGCCCACCACCTACACCACCCTCACCCCGCTGCAGCCGCTGCCGCCCATCTCCACCGTGTCGGACAAGTTCCCCCACCATCACCACCACCACCACCACCATCACCACCACCACCCGCACCACCACCAGCGCCTGGCGGGCAACGTGAGCGGCAGCTTCACGCTCATGCGGGACGAGCGCGGGCTGGCCTCCATGAATAACCTCTACACCCCCTACCACAAGGACGTGGCCGGCATGGGCCAGAGCCTCTCGCCCCTCTCCGGCTCCGGCCTGGGCAGCATCCACAACTCCCAGCAAGGGCTCCCCCACTACGCTCACCCCGGCGCCGCCATGCCCGCCGACAAGATGCTCACCCCCAACGGCTTCGAAGCCCACCACCCGGCCATGCTGGGCCGCCACGGGGAGCAGCACCTCACGCCCACCTCGGCCGGCATGGTCCCCATCAACGGCCTCCCCCCGCACCACCCGCACGCCCACCTCAACGCCCAGGGCCACGGGCAGCTCCTGGGCACGGCTCGGGAGCCCAACCCCTCGGTGACCGGGGCGCAGGTCAGCAGTGGAAGTAACTCGGGACAAATGGAAGAGATCAATACCAAAGAGGTTGCCCAGCGCATCACCACCGAGCTCAAGCGCTACAGCATCCCGCAGGCCATCTTCGCGCAGAGGGTGCTCTGCCGCTCCCAGGGGACCCTCTCGGACCTGCTGCGCAACCCCAAACCGTGGAGCAAACTCAAGTCGGGCCGGGAGACGTTCCGGAGGATGTGGAAGTGGCTGCAGGAGCCGGAGTTCCAACGCATGTCCGCGCTCCGCTTAGCAGGTGAGTGAGCGGGGGCCAAGGAGTGGGGCGAGCGGGGAAAGAAGGAACGGAGGCGTCTAGGAACCCAAGGAGGGTGGGAAGAAGAGAGAACTGGGCCTCTTCACCCCTCCTCCCTGCCCCCCCAGGTGGGGTCCTGGGGCCTGGAAGAGCCAGTGCGGGGGGGGGGGGGTCCTCCAGGCAGCAGACCGCCTCCCCCAGGACTTGGTGCGTTGGGCTGTAGAAGGCTCTGAGAGCTGACTTCGGGGCGCGTCTGTGCTGGGGAGAGCGCGGGGAAACCCGCACTGCCTGAGGCGGAGAAAAATAACCCACACCTGGGGAGACCCCGTCTGTGCGTGGCTTCTCTGTCGGACACTGGGGCTGGGGCTGGGGCTGGGGCTGCCTACCAGTGTTGATCTGAACTCGATGCGGTAACGGGAACCCCCCTTCCCGCCCTAACTCCGTTGGGGCGGGAGGGGCCCGCAGGAAGTTAGGGCAGAAGGTTCCAAAGCCGCGAGCCGGCGGGTGCGTGGTGGGGAGTCTGGGTTCGCGCGCGCTTGCAAGGGGCTGTGTGGAAGGAAGAGCGGGACCGACTGCGCGGGGGTCCTGGTCCGCCCCGAGACCGCTTCGCCTAGGACTCCTCGTTTTCATTTTATTCCTTTGCATGATTTTTTTTCCCCCGGCTAAATCCCAATGCAGGGAAGGGTGGGAGTGTGGGGATGGCCCCCGAGTCGGCGAGCCAAGGTCTCCCGGACCCGAGACCCCGAAGCGTTTGGGAGGTGAGCCGGAAGGTCTCAGCGGCGCTGCACAGACCCGGTGCCGCGCTCCCCGCGCCTCCTTCGGCCGAGGTGAGGACGCGGCTGGATGGCGCCGAGGATTTGGTGCGGCTTCTGCGACCTCCGAGGGCGGAGGACGGGAGGGGAAGCGGAGCCAGGGCTAGCCTCGGCGGACTCGGTTTGATGAGACCCGGGCTGAGCTGAGTGACTCCTGGGTTCATCCCTCCACTCCCACCCCCAACCCCCCAATTTTAGCCCCGGCGGGCGCCACGGCCCGAGTCCCGGCGAAGAGAAAGGTAAAAGCCGATATGCGGGTTTGTTAATTAACTGATCGTTCTCCATTAATTCGTCCCTGGAGAACGGGAGACAGTCAATCCTCTCAAAGCCGAGGGCACGGAGCAGTTTCACGGACTAAAATCAAAGCCGGGGGCCGGGGCCCCCTCCCCCACCGCGCGCGGGCCAATGGGGAGCCGTAGGGAGGCAGGTGCCGGCGAGCCCCGAACCCGAGACTCGGGCGGCCGGCGGCCCGGAGCCACCTGCGGGGCCGGGCGCTCCGGCTTCCCCTCCCGAGCGACCCGCCGCTCCTTCGCTCCCAGCAAAGACCCCACGCGGGGAAGGCAGGCGCTGGGAGACAGGAAGGAAGAGGCTGAGTGGCTGCCCTCTAGGCTCCCGCGATTCCCCTCGCCAGCCTCGCGCGCTGCCGCCGCATCGCCCTCTCCCGCCCTCCACCACCCCCGCGGGCCGGCTGAGAGCGGGGGCCGCTGGAGTCCCAGGGAGGGTGGGGAAACGGCTGCCCCTCTCCCGGACCGCTCCACCCATGCGGGCGCCTGAGGTCGTCAGAGCCCGTTCACACGCCCGCGCCAGACTCCAGCCGGGCTCCGAGACCTTTCCCCGGGCAGTACCCGCACCGGCCTGCGGAGGTGGGGGTGGAGGGCTGGTGGGAAAGGAGGGGTGCCCCCAGGGAGCCCGCCCGCCACCCCGGGTAGGCGCTTGCTCCGGGACTTCCTTGACCCTTCCTCCCTCGTTGCCTCTTGTTGCCGCCTGGAAGGACAGGCTCTCTCAGGTTCTGTTCAGAGACGATCGCCCCCCCCCCCCACCGCCCCCAGCCCTGGACACCCGGTCTTGGTCCCTGCCCTGCATGAGCGCCCTCTGATCTCCATGCCTGAGCGCCCCGGTGCTGTTTAGGGGAAGCCCAAATACTGCGACCCGCACAGGGGAGGCGCGGGCAGCGTGCTGGCTGAGGCTCGTGGAACCGAGGAGGCTATCGAGTGGGCGCCTGCCCGGTATCCAGCAGCCTGTGCCCTGTCATTCTCTGCCCCAGGCTCGCAGTCTTTCTTTTTTTTTGGGGGGGGGGGGGGGGAGGCGGTTTGAGGATTCTGGTAGGACACACGTTTGAACCCCTAATTCCAAACGGACCCGGCATCCTAAGACCCGCATGGAACGTTGACCCTTTCACTTCCCTTTCTTTAGCTTAAAGGGGTAAGGATGGCTGGGACCAGGGCTGGTGCGGAGGGAACCGGGAGCAATACCATTTTGCTGCAAAAGCCACGATCTACTTTTAAGTCACCGGAGAACTATGAGGCGTTCTGTTAGCGCTGTTTCCGACTGGTCTTTGCCGGAGACTCAAAACGGGTTTCCAGGCTTGTTGGCTGCAGCTGTGCAACCTTGCTGCCTCCTCCCCACCACCACTCCCCGGGCTCCCAGAAGCTCCTGGCGGCTGTGCTTGCTGTTGCACTCAAAGACCTGTCAACCTAGTCCCTACCCCACGCCAGGCGGGGCACACCGCGGTCATCGGTTCCAGAGGTGGCAGGTCATCGGTTCCATAGAGGTGGTTTCTCTATGCCCCTCCCTGTGCCCTGGGCTCCGTGCAAGTTGGTGAGAGTCAGGCCCTCTCCACACGTGGCAATGTGTTTGGGGAGGTGCCTTCTCCTTAGGAAATTACATCTGCTGGTGGAAGACGGGAGGGAGACAGGAGGAAATTCTCACCAAATTAACTACCTTTTAAAAATCAATATATGTTCCCTCAATGCAATACTTGCTGCTGCCCCCATTCAAGTGCAGCACAACCAGATTCGAGCCGCTCCTCCCTCGTCCCAGGTGGGGGTGGGAGGTCTTGGCTGCGCGGGTGGGTGGGTGGGTGGGCGTCCCGCCTCTGACGTGGGCGCCTATTAAGATGTGAGGAGATTAGTTTCCAATTAAAGATTCCAGAAAGCGTCCACCACGCTAGTGGAGCTGCCAGCACAGGAGGAGACTGCAGAGCACACCCGCCAGCTGGCGCAGCACCCGGGACTGGGAGGCGAGGCCCGAAGGCTCGGGATTCGGGCAGGGGTGTGTGCTGGGCCCCTCGGACCCTTTGGTACCTGGAGGCAAGGAAACCTCCAAATGCCACGGAGCCCACTGGATCGCCCGGAACCCGGACTACGCCCCCTTCCTATCCAGAATTTCTTCCAGAGTGACTTAGAAAAGGGCCTGAGGGTAAGGGGTGGATGGGCGGGGGGGGGGGGGGGGGGGGGTGCCTGTCAGGCCAGGAGGTGGCCATGAGAAAGTCTGGCCCGGGTCAACCTGGACTGTGTTTGCCGTAAGTGGCCTTGCGGCCTGGTTGATTGATAACAAGCCCCTGCGCAAGTCCATTTGCTTTTTGTTAATATTTATCCCGGTGGGTGACATTTCAACTGTCCTCATGCTTCCTGGGGCCACGGGAGCCCAGCAGGAGTGCGGTGCTGGCTCTGGGAACCCCACTTCCCCATCCTCAAAGACTCGGGCCAGAGCCTGGGAGAAAAGCCCGGACTGGGTGTGGGGAGTGCCTGGATCGTAGGGTGGGAAGAGAAGGCACCAAGTGCATTAGTTCCCTCCAGCCCCAGGTCTCTGGGGCACAGTGCAGCTGCTCCCAGCAAGCCGCCACTCAAACAAAGGGCTGGGAGGTGGCTGGGCTGGATCCCGTGAGGAGTGCCTCTTCTAAAGGCCTGGGAGGGCCTCCTCCCGAGTGGCTGGGGACCGGTCCAGTAGTCAGACAGGGATTCCCCCCACCCCACCCTTAGGCCTAACGGTGGTGGCCGGAGACCCCACACATACCAGCACAGCAGGAAACCAAAAGGCCTCACTCTTGGGGAGAGTTAGAAGAAGGTTCTAAATCTAAGTGAGCCTTTCTTGCAGCCCATGTCTGAATCCTGGAGGATATGAGACAAGAGTTTCCTCTTGCTGTCCCCACCAGGGAGCACAAACATCCCAGTGAGGAGAGAAAGAAGTGTATGTGGTTTGACTGGGGGCGGGGGGGGGGGGGGAGGGCTGCTTTGGGGCTTGAGGAGGCCTGATGGTTATTGTGTGGCCACTCAGGTGAGGATGGCCACCTGAGATAAGTAAACACCTGGGCCTGTTCAAAGGGTGACCGGCTGACCTGTCTGAGGTGCAGCCCCGAGCCCCTTGGAAGCACCGGGAGGGTGATTGGGGGGGGGGGGGGGGATGGCTGAGCTCCCAGGCTGGCCCAGGGTTGCTGTGATCACTAGAAACCCAGCCCTGCCATCGCTGCTTTGCAGTCGGCAATTGGGACGGACTGTGCCATCCCATCGCAGGCTGTGTTGTAGCCTCAGAGTGACTAAAAACCCAGGGCGCGACTTCATCTTCAAGCTCCCAGCCGTGGGCGAGCCACAGGGAGCTGGACGCTCTCCTTCGGGCTCACCTTCCCTGGGCTGTGCTGCGATAGCAGCGCGCCCCCTGCGGGCGGCCGGCCTGGCGCCCAGCAATCCTCCCTGGTTCAACCTGCACGGAGCTGTTTCAGGGATTTCAAAAAACGGTACCTATTTTGAGAGGAAGAGAATGTGGAGGAGAAAGAAAAGGATAGCTAGTGGATCTGTCTTGGTCCCCAACAATGCTTTACTATTGCCCCAGGGATGACACAGAATTGCCACCCCACACACCAACTCTAACCTATCCGAACAAGACTCGAGTTTGGGTTTTCTGGTGGAATGATACCTTTGCTGGCATGTTTTTATCTGAGAAACTCGGGGTCAGAGTAGAGGTGAGTCTGGCTGTCTGAAGAAGGAGGTTGGGGCTGAGGGCTGTAGGATCTGGAGGGCGGGTTAGCGGTTCCTTTGTTTTGTTGTTTCCCCTTCCAGCTGATGGAAGTTGGGAGGCTGCTGGAGGAGGCCTTGAGCTTGAAGGTCTTTGTTTGGTCCCTTGTTGAGTGGATGGAAAGGCGTCCGCAGGCTCACCGGCTTGGAGCCTTGGTGCAGCGTCAGGACCCTGGACAGG